AATCGAAGGTTCACTTATGGAAAAAAGGGGCCTCGTTCCTTATTTAGGGTTCCTTAGGTCAGCGCCCCGACTGTATGGTGGTGGTGGTGGTGGAGAGCAGGCCCGTCACAGGGCCCCCCGGCCGCGGCCCCCCCCCGCGAGCCGCCGCGGGCCGACGAGCACCCCGCGGCGGCCCCCGCGGCCGCGAAGCCGCCCGCGGAGCCGCCCGCGGGCCCGCGCGGCGCCGCCGCCGAGCGGCGGCCGCCGGCGGGCGGCGGCGCCGCCAGGCCCCGCGGGCCGGGCGCGCGCTCGGACCGCGGGCTGGGCGTGCGGTGGTGCCCCGGGGGTCGACTGGCGGCGCCCAGGAAGCCCGGGCGAGGGGGCTCACGGGCCACGATGTGCCAGATGTTCGGGAGGCTCCGCCGGCTCCCGGCGGCTTTCCAGTCTCGGGATGCCTTCCTGCGCCTGCGCCTCGCCGGGAGCATTCTCGGGGTGCCGGGATCGTCCCGAACGGCCGCCAGAGAGCCGAATGATGACCCGAAGACCAGACAGGGCTACACGTGTAAGAGTCAAGCAGTGGCGAAGCGTCCTGGCGTGCCTATAGGCCTACCAAGCAATGTTCTAAGAGCCTTTTGTGGCTTGCACGAAAGGTTCTTAGAACATTCCTGGCCGGGGCTGTCTTGTTTTATCACATCGTGCTTATATTATAAGGACATCGTTTCTGTTCTGAGAACACTTTTGGGTTCTAGGAACATTTCGTGGTAGGCCTATAGGAATGCTGTGACGGTCGGTCCCTGCTCAACTGGGGTCGACTGCACGTGTAAGAGTGATCTTTTCTCGGCGGCGAACGAGGGGGGGAAACGAGGAGGAGAAAAGGCCTTCTCAGGAGGCGGCGGGACTTCTCAGGAGCCCTCGCGCCTTCGGAGAAGTTGTTTCTGCGTCTTGGGGGAAGGCTTAGAAGACTTCTCCGAAGTCCGGGGGACGTCCGAACCTTTGAAAAGTCCCGCCCCTTCTCACTTCCCCCCCTGGCTCGTCGCCGGAGTGACCTTTGGTGCGGGCCCAATGGGGTCCCCCAATTGCCGAGCGTGTCGCGGCAGAGGCGGCTTGCGCGTTTGTGTGTTGGCCCCCGCGCGGCCCCCAAGAAGCCGCTCACCAAAGGTCACTCTTTCCCAGGGTCACTCTTGCGTGTAGTCGATGGGGGAGGATCCAGACCCGTCGCGTCGTGAGAAAAAGTCACGGTGGAGGTTTTTGGCCATTTTCGGCTTCCCGGGGCGACTCGGGATGAAAAACGGTCCTGTAGTCCGGATGGAGGGAGGCCCTTTGAGTCCGGGGGGGGTCCTGTAGTCCGAGGGGTGATGCGTTGATCTTCATGGTTTGACGTTCCGCTCGACGAAGACGTCGACGACGACGACGAAAACAAAGACGGCGACGACGACGACGACGACGACGACGACGACGACGACGACGACGCTGTCGCCCGTGGTGCGCGGTGCATTGTTTCACAACGGGCGTTTTTTCGCCCGGTTTCGGGACCCATGATCCTCGCAGATCGATGCGGCTCGAAGAATGACGCAGGAAGATGGGGTGCGGGACTCCAGTCGCGGTTTTTGCTGCGATGTTGCAATTTTGTCGCAACGTCGGATCTCAGGGTCCCTCGGCCTGCACTCTCCGTACCTTCCGCGCGGAAGGTGCCGCCGCTACGGCCTCGACGGTGACCGCCGCCGCGGCCGCGGCGGCGGCCGCGGAAGCGCGGCACGTGGCGCGCGGAAGGTGCGGAAGGTGCAGGTCGAGAGGTGCTCGCGTCGTGGCACAGGTGCGACGGGAGGTCTTCGGCCGTTGCCAGCCTCCTTCAGGAGCCCTCGCCCGGCCCCGGGGCTGTCAAGGAACGACTTGGGGCGAAAAACCGGCCCCGGGAGAGGGTCACGGCGCCAACATCGCAGAGCGGATTTCGTTCGGCAAACAATGGGATGGGCCCGGATTGTTCGGGAGAGTTTCGTTCCGGATTTCGAAGTGAATTTCGTGCGGGTTGGTTTCGGCCAGGAAGTGCATTTCGTGCGGATTAGTTCTGGCCAGGGATGAAGACTTCAAAACATCCACGTGAAAGGCACTTCGTTTTTCGCTCGCCGTTTCGGGGCTTCGCATGGACAGAAGTCCACGCAACAATCCGCTGCAGCACGTCTGCAAGGTCGGTGCAGTGAGAAAGGACCGGGACTGCCGGGGACTTGGCATTGCAGAAGTAGGGGCGGCGTGCCGATGCCGCTGACCGTCCCTCATGTCCCTGGCAAGAGCGCGGGCATGGGAGAGGCCCGTGGACTGCTGGCGGCATCGGTATGTTTTGTTCGGAGAACCAAAAAACCATAAGCATCAACTTTCGGAGGTCCGCGCTGATTCTTGGATCGGCACTGGACCCCCCATCCTGGCGCGCGGAGCGCGCCAAGGGCGGCGCCGGAGGCTCCGCCAAGGGGGCCACAGCGCCGATCCAAGAAGCCTGTGCGGACCTCCGAACGTTGATGCTTATGCTTTTTGTTGTCCCTGGAGTTTGTCGTCCCAGGGCCAGGTTTTCGTCCTGAGTCCTTTTGCTGATGGTCCCGGGGCCCGTGGAGGGCCCCCGGGTGCCGAAAAGGGCCAACCATTGACTGCTCCAATGTTTTTTAGCCTTGGATCTCGGGGATGTTGTTCGGCCACGCGCAGATGGGGGTAGGGGGAGGGGGGAGGCTTCTCAGAAGCACCCCTGCGTCTTAGAAGGCGCGGGCCTTGTCTGTAGATGTAGGGCCGTCGCCTTCTAAGAAGCAGCCTGCTTCTAAGAAGCCTTCCCCCCTCCCAATACCCCCTTGTGCGCGCCGCCATGTTTTGGTTGCTCTCCCAGGTACACGCAGCAGATCTCGGCGCTGGGCAGGCGCAAGCAGTGGCGGGAAGCGCTGGGCCTGCTGGCCGAGATGCGGGCGGGCGGCGTGTGGCCCAACGTCATCACCTACAGCGCGCTCATCAGCGCCTGCGTGCGGGGCGGGCAGCCCGAGAGGTCCCTGGAGCTGCTGCAGGAGATGAAGGATTCCGGGCCTCCCGGAGGGGGCCGCGGGACCAGGTGTCGACAGATCTCGACAGTTCTCGCGTGAAGAAGTGTGAAGCGTCAAGCCTTCCGTCGATTTCGTAGACGGTAGCTTTCAAGCGTTGCATGCCCGACATATCCCAGCGAACGACAGTTCTCTGGAGTTCTCGTTGGTTCGTAGGTTTTCCAGCCTTGGGATGCTCTCCAGCAGCTGCGCCTCGTCGAGAGCCCGGCGCGGGTGCTGGAACCGTCCCGAGCGTCCGCCCGAGGCTCGAACCATGCCCCGACAACCGCTCGAGGGGCCTCCCAGACGGGAGCCGAGCAGGTGGGGCCGGAGGATCACGCCGCATCGCCGATGCATCGGCTGGCGATGCGGCTCGATGCCGATCCCGATCTTTTCCACATCGACGTCGCCGACGCGCCGCCGAAGTCGACCGCCGACGTCGCCGATGCATCGGCCACGCGGCGCGATCCTCCGACCCCATCTGCTCGGGCCCCTATCCGGGAGGCCTCTGAGGATGAGGGCCTGGAGCCTGACGTCATCACCTACAGCTCGCTCATTACCGCGTGCGCCTCAGGGAAGATGACCGAGCGTGCGCTCGGCCTCTTCGAAGAGATGCTGAGGCAAGGGCTCGTGCCGAACAACATCACCCACAACGCCCTCATCACCGCCTGCGAGAAGGGCGGAGAGCTTGAAAAGGCCGTCCAGGTTTTCGAAGCGATGAAGGAGCGCGGGCTGAAGCCCGACATCGTCACCTACAACGCGCTGATCAGCGCGTGCTCGAAGGGCAGGCAGCCGGACAGGGCCATGTCCTTCTTCGAGCTGATGGTGAAGGAGGGCGTGACCCCAGATGTCATCACCTTCAATGCTCTCATCGGCGCATGCGCCCGTGGAGCCAAGCCCGACTCCGCCCTGCTGCTGCTAGACGCGATGCAGTCCAGGGGCCTCGCGCCCAACGCCGTCACCTACAACGTTCTGATCAGCGCGTGCGATCGAGGGCGCCAGCCTGAGAGGGCGATGGAGCTCTTCGACGATCCGTAAGGGCTTCGCCCCCATGCCGCCGGCCCCCCTCTCTTAGAATGGGACTTGCCAGAGCTGTGTTGGGATGTCTGGACGCTGACGTGAAGCAGCGTCGGGACTTCACGCGAGAGCCAATATTGATTTACGGGAGTTGATGGCTTCGGCGGCGCGAATATCATATAATTTACAGTGGTTTCTGGCTTCGGGGACGCGAGCATCACGTAATGTACGATGGTTTGTCGCTTCGGGGACGCAAACGTTGTGTCATGTGCAAGGGTGTATGGCCTCGAGGGCGCAATTTTCGTATAATTTACAAAGGCGTATGGCCTCGGGGGCGCGAATATGGTATAATTTGCGATGGTTTGTTGCCTCGGGGACGCAAGCACGGTGTAATTTACTATGGATTATGGCCCTGGGGACTCGAATCTTACTTGATGTTCTAAGGTTTATGGCTTCGGGGGCGCGAGTATGCAGTAGTTTATGTAGGTTTATGGTCTCGGTGGCGCGCACATTGCGTAATTTACAAAGGTGTATGGCTTCGGGGGCGCGAATGTCGTTTAATTTGCTAGAGATTTATGGTTCCGGGGACGCGAACATCGCGTAATCTACAAATGTTTACGGCGTCGGCGACACTAATATGGAGTAATTTACCAAGGAGTATGGCCTCGGGCACGCGAATATCATGTATTTTTACTTGTCCTGCGCCCCCCACAGGAATCCAGACAACGCGATCTGGGCGTGGTAAAGAAAGCTGGTTTGGGGCTCCCCCCCCTCGCGCGTTCAGCAACAATTAACTGTAAGGAAGCAGAAAGCAGGCCTGTAACAGTGGAAAGTGGAAACTGCAACTGCAGCAGGGAGCTGCAATCCTCACCCTCGCAGCCTGGCGGCCCCGCAAGGGGGCCGGCGGATATGAAGAGACAGGGCCTCGAGCCCGACGTGATCACTTTCGGCGCCATGATAAGCGTGTGCGAGAAGGGGCGCCTCAGCGACAAAGCGATGGAGTTCTTCGACGAGATGCAGGCCAGCGGGCTCACGCCGGACATCATCACCTTCAACTCGCTGATCAGCGCCTGCGAGAAGGGCCGGCAGCCGGACCGGGCCCTGCAGCTGTACGAGGACATGCAGCGGCTCGGGGTCTGGCCCGACACCGTCACCTGCAACGCGCTGATCAGCGCCTGCGAGAAGGGGGCGCAGACCGAGCGCGCGCTGCAGGTGTTCGCGTCCATGCAGAAGAACGGCCCCGCTCCCGACGTGATCACCTTCAACGCCCTCATCAGCGCGTGCGAGAAGGGCGGGAGGTCAGAGAAGGCTCAGGAGGGGAGAAGACGCACAGACACAGCTCATCGTCGATCCCCGGGAAAACACGGGAAACCATGGACAGTGTGGGGGGGGGATGACGACAGCCCAGAAAATGTAGAAACATAGGGGGAACCCTGGGATGTGTGTGTGTGTGTGTGTGTCAATTTGTTCGTGTGTCTGCGGGCCCCTCCAAAGGCCCTGGAGCTCTGCGACACCATGGAGCGCCAGGGCCTGGCCCCCGACGTCATCACCTACAGCGCCCTCATCAGCGCCTGCGCCAAGGGCCGCATGCCAGAGAGGCTGGGGGCTCCTTTCGATTCCTCCGATCCAATCCGATCCGATTTCGGTGGCTTCCGATTCCGATCCGATCCGATTTCGGATTCCAATGTGGCATCCGATTTATCAAGGAAGGTCTGCTAGCCTGACGATTTCCACCGATTCGATTTTTCCCGACTCGGCTGCCGACTTCCGCCGATCCGATTCATTTCGATCGCAGGTCCGACTTATCGATTCGATTCTGGGCTCTCCTGGAGAGGGCGGCGCAGTTGTTCGAGCGCATGGAGCAGCGCGGCCTCGCGCCCAACGTCATCACCTGCAACGCCCTGATCAGCGCGTTCGACAAGGGCGGGCAGGCAGAGAATGCCCTCCGGACGCTCGGGGACATGGAGAGGCGGGGCATCGCGCCCGACGTGGTGACCTACAACGCCCTCCTCTCGGCGCTGGCCAAGAGCCGCATGGTGGGCGCCGTCCTCGACCACTTCGCTGGGATGCAGCGGCGGGGCCTCGTGCCCGACGCCGTGACGTACGGCGCGGTGATCGGCGCGTGCGAGCGGGGCCAGCTCCTGGAGGAGGCCCTCGAGCACTTCGACGCCATGCTGGCGAGGGGCCTCGTCCCCGAGCCGGGCACCGTGGTCGCGCTCGTCGGCATGTGCGAGCGGGCGCAGCGGCCCTCGGACGCCGCCCGCGCCTTCGAGGCCGCGCTGCGCCGCGGGATGCTGCCCGACGCGGCCCTGCGCGAGAGGGCCGCGGAGGCGTACGAGAGGCTCGGGCGGCCGGGAGCGGCGCTGGAGGCCCTCCGCGGCAGGCAGGCGCCTCCGTCGAGCTCGGCGCGCCCGTGGGCGGCGCGGCCGGCGGGAGTCGCGGCTGCCGAGAAGAAGCAGGCGCTGAGGGCGGCCGGGCGGTGAGCCCGTGGGGGTCGGTGGGGCCCCGGGGGGGGGGGCGCCCGCTGACGTCGATGCGGACGGCTCGCTTCGCTGCCACCTCAGCTGGCGCCCTGCAGGCAGGGCGAGAGGACACTGGCGCGTGGACACCGAAAAAAACCGAAGCAGAAACTCCAGGAGCCACTCAGCGAAAGTATTGTCTAGGGAAGGTACGATAGCATTGAAGCATCGGACCCCCATAAGATAATCTGATCACTCGAAGTATCACACCAACCCTTCGAAACGTTCAATCGAACGATGATACCAAGGCTTCTCCTTCCAACGCTGATGAATCATATTCCAGACTCTAGCAATATTCCGCAACAAAGTTACACATCATGACCGAGCGCTAGCTACATTTCGAATTGTACACGGGAGCATCCAGGATGGCGTCCGGAAGCAACACGTACTGGTCTTCTTGTGGTGTCTGAGTGGTTGTCGTGTCATAGCGTTTTCAGGCATCTGCGCGCCCTGGGGGGGGGGGTCGGGGGGGGGAGAGTCCTCCTGGTTCTGATCGACGACGCCGAGTGCTGGGCCCCTCCCCCGGATTCGAAACGCGCCGCCAAACGTTCCCAAAGCAAGCGCCCGTGAAACACGTTCTCTCCGATCTACATGCGTACAAATACATATACAAACAATGGGCTCCGTTTTCTCTTTGTCTCTCTCTCTCTCTCTCCTCTCTCTCTTTGCCTCTGTCTCTGTCTCTGTCTCTTCCCCTCCCTGAAGTGCCCGCTGAATGGCAGGATGGGCAGCGCAACGGGGGCCAGCCCTTCAAGCAGAGGTGGTGGAGCTACTGCGACCAGGACCCCCGCCCCCCCTCCACGGCCAGAGCTCCGGCGACGACGGTGGACGACGAGTGGACGGCGGCGGCGGCGACGGACGACGGATGACACTGGCACTTGGCAACGACACCGACGCCGACGACGACAGCGACAACGACGACGACGACGCCGACGACGACTACGACGACACCGACGACGACACCGACGACTTCGACAGCGACGACAACGACGACGACGACGACGACACCGACGACGACGACGCCGACGCCGACGACGATGACGACGACGCCGACGACGACGACGCCGCCGACGACGACGACGCCGACGACGCCGACGACGCCGACGACGACGACGACGCCGACGACGACGCCGACGACGACGACTAAGACGAGGGAGGAGGGAGGACGACGACGGCGAAAATGACGACAACGACGAAGAAGAAGGGAGGATGGCGACGCCGACGACGACAACGACGAGGGAGAAGGGAAGACGACGACGACGACGACGACGACGACGGCGACGAAATAGGAGGGACGACGACGAGACGCCGACAACGGACGACGACGACGACGACGACGAGGGAGAGGAAGGACGACCACGGCGACAACGACGACGTAAACGACGACCATGCCAAAGAGGACGACGACGACGAGGAAAGACAGAGGACGACGACGGCGACGACGACGACGACGAGGGAGGAGGGAGGACGGCGACGACTACGACGACGACGACACAAGAGCGCTCGCGCACGCTTTTGCTGAACATCCGTGTTGCAAAACCCTGTGGTTTTGTAAGTTTGTTTGGACACTCGATTTCGAAATCCTTCTGAAACCGAAGGTTTTTCCCCACATCCTAAGTGGGGTTCTTGTTTTCTCTGCACACCCTCCGCGCAGGATCTCTCGCCCTCCTCCCTCTCCTCTGCTCCTCTTTGCTTCCTCCTCCGCATCATCATCACCATCACCAGCACTCCCCACTCATCATCATCATCATCACCATCAGCATCACCATCACCATCGCACGATCACTCACCATCATCGGCATCGAACGATCATCATCATCATCATCATCATCATCATCATCACTACTCGCTGACTCACCACTTCGTCCCCATCATCATCACCACCATTTACCATCAGAATCGCACGATCACTCACCATCAGCACTCATCATCACCACCATCATCATCATCACGTCGTCATCATCACCACCACCACCATCATCATCATCATCATCATCATCATCATCATCATTATCATTATCATTATCATTATCATCATCATCATCATCATCATCATCATCATCATCATCATCATCATCATCATCATCATCATCATCATCATCATCATCATCATCAATCAATCAATCAATCAATCAATGTTCAAATCCGAGCGGGTCATCATCCTGTAACTGTCGTCACTTTTGGGCTCCTCAGGTCTGAATTTGGATCATCCACAAGCGGGAGCCTCGTCTGTGAGTGAATTGTGAGGAAGTCTCAGGCGGGAGCCCCCTCCCTATGGGGCCCGCAGATCATGTTACTAATCCGAGCGGGTCATCGGATTCCTGTAACTGTCGTCACTTTTGGGCTCCTCAGGTCTGAATTTGGAAGAAGTATCAAGCGGGAGCCTCGTCTGTGAGTGAATTGTGAGGAAGTCTCAGGCGGGAGCCCCCTCCCTATGGGGCCCGCAGATCATGTTATAATCCGAGCGGGTCATCGGATTCCTGTAACTGTCGTCACTTTTGGGCTCCTCAGGTCTGAATTTGGAGGAAGTATCAGGCGGAGCCTCGTCTGTGAGTGAACTGGGGCCCGCAGATCATGTTATTAATCCGAGCGGGTCATCGGAAGTAACTGTCGTCACTTTTGGGCTCCTCAGGGAATTTGGAGGAAGTATCCGGGAGCCTCGTTTGTCAGTGAATTGCGAGGAAGTCTCAGGCGGGAGCCCCCTCCCTATGGGGCCCGCAGATCATGTTATTAATCCGAGCGGGTCATCGGATTCTTGTAACTGTCGTCACTTTTGGGCTCCTCAGGTCTGAATTTGGAGGAAGTATCAAGCGGGAACCTCGTCTGTGAGTGAATTGTGAGGAAGTCTCAAGCGGGAGCCCCCTCCCTATGGGGCCCGCAGATCATGTTATTAATCCGAGCGGGTCATCGGATTCCTGTAACTGTCGTCACTTTTGGGCTCCTCAGGTTTGAATTTGGAGGAAGTATCAGGCGGGAGCCTCGTTTGTCAGTGAATTGCGAGCAAGTCTCAGGCGGGAGCCCCCTCCCTATGGGGCCCGCAGATCATGTTATTAATCCGAGCGGGTCATCGGATTCTTGTAACTGTCGTCACCTTTGGGGTCCTCAGGTCTTAATTTGGAAGAAGTATCAAGCGGGACCCTCGTCTGTGAGTGAATTGTGAGGACGCGTCAGGCGGGAGCCTTCCTATGGGTCCCGCAGCTCACGTGGTTCCTCCGGGTCATCCTCCGGCGCGCGCTTCCTCTGGGTCGTCCTCCGGCGCGTATCGGCTGGGACGCACGTCGTGCGCTTCCTCTGGGTCGTGTTCCGCACGAGGACGAGGAGGAGGAGGATTGCCAGGAAAAGGAGGAGGGATGATGCAGGACGAGACAGGAAAGCAGGAAGAGGAAGAGGCTGAGGGGAGGAAGGACGAGGAGGAAAAGGAGGAGGAGGAATGCCCGAGGAGGCCCCAGTAGGTCCCGGAAGGCCCAGAAGGCTCCAGGAGGCCCCAAGAGGCCCCAGGAGGCCCCAGGAGGGGGCAGGAGGCCTAAGGAGGAGGCAGGAGGAGGAGGAGGAGGAGGAGGAGGAGGGGGGGGGAGGAGGGGGGAGGAATATGGAAACGAGGAGGAGGAGGAGGAGGAGGAGGAGGAGGAGGAGGAGGAGGAAGCGGATGAGGGAGAGGGAGAGGAGGAGGACAGGGGATGAGGAGGAGGAGGAGGAGAAGGGAGAGGGAGAGCAGGAGGAGGAGGAGGCAGGAGGCAGGAGGGGCAGGGGGAATGGGGGGGAGGAAGCATAACGAGGGGGAGGGGGAGGAGGTTGAGGAGGCAAGAAGAGGAGGAAAAGGCAGGGGTTGAGGCAGGAGGAGGAGCAGACAGGAGGAGAACGAGGAGGCAAGAGTAGGTAGGAGAAGGGAAGGGGCAGGAGGATACCCCCATGCAAGCTAAAGAGATTCTCATGTGGGGTCCTTCCGTCGGAGTAATTGAAGGATTTCGGCAAGCGCGCGCGACGACGAGCGCGCGCATTTCGTCCCAGCGTTTGCAGAGGATTCTCGCGACGGCACGCGCGCATGGGCGTTCTAACGATTTCGGCATGCGCGCGCGAAGCCCGTTTGGTAGTAGTTTCTGGTAAGCTGTATAAGCGATGGTTTTCATCAGAAATTGTAAGAGCGAGCGCATGAGTTTGTTCCCCAACCCTCCTTGGTTGTGTATTCGTTTTGGAAAGAGCACTGCGGTCTCCAGTCCTCCTCCTCCTCCTCCTCCTCCTCATCCTCCTCCTCCTCCTCCTCCTCCCGCCTCCCGTCTCCCGCTTCCGTATTGTCTCTTTTTGTTTTGCGCGAACATGGCCGTCCATGGGGGGCTGCGATCTGCGACACTGTCGCCACTTTCGAGGGCTGCTGGTGGGTCCTGCGGAGTGAGGCACCGCGGGGATCTGAGCGGGACCTCGCCGTCCCTGGGGGGCTGCGGTCTGCGACATTGTCGCCATTTTCGAGGGTTGCTGGTGGGTCCTGCGGAGCGAGGCACCGCGGGGATCTGAGCGGGACCTCGCCGTCTTGGGGGGCTGCGATCTGCGACATCGTCGCCACTTTCGAGGGCTGCTAGTGGGTCCTGCGGAGTGAGGCACCGCGGGGATCTGAGCGGGACCTCGCCGTCCCTGGGGGGCTGCGATCTTCGACATTGTCGCCACTTTCGAGGGCTGCTGGTGGGTCCTGCGGAGTGAGGCACCGCGGGGATCTGAGCGGGACCTGACCTCGCCGTCCCCGGGGGGCCGCGATCTGCGACATCGTCGCAACTCCTAGGGCTGCTGGTGGGTCCCGCGGAGTGAGGCACCGCGGGGATCTGAGCGGGACCTCGCCGTCCCTGGGGGGGTGTGATCTGCGACATCGTCGCCACTTTCGAGAGCTGCTGGTGGGTCCTGCGGAGCGAGGCACCGCGGGGATCTGAGCGGGACCTCGCCGTCGTGGGGGGCTGCGATCTGCGACATTGTCGCCA